GAATATTCATCATTTTTGTCAGTAGAAGTATCGTCATGATGTTTATTTTCATCCAAAATGTTTTCCATTGTGGTTTTGTATATTTGTAAAAAAAAATTTTTTTTAAAGAACTTTTTTTTTTTTTGACTACAAATATGTATCACAAAAAATATATTAATTAATATTAAATATATTTAGATTTATCTAAAAAAAAATTAAATTTTTACCTGAACTACAACAATTCAGCATTGACACCCTAAAGTCATAAAACTGTAATAAATATTGCAAGCGTATGATCCGAGTTATTGGAGTCACCAAATAAAATCAATATATACAACTATATGCTTGATTAGGGTTTATTCGAATTACTTGTTTTACTCGTTATGAATTTGAGTATTCGAATTGCATTGAAAGTTTATTCAAATAAAATGAATAATGAGTAATTCGAAAATTCGAATAAAATGAATAAACGAATAATTCAAGTAAGACAAATAAATAAATAAAATAAATAATTCGATCGATAATTTAAATAAAACAAATAAACGAATAGTTCGAATGAAACGAATAAACGAAATAAAACGTATAGTTCGAATAAAACGAATAAACGAAATAATTCGAATAGTTTGAATAAAAAAAAAAATTGAACAATTCAAGCAAAACAAATAAATGAATAATTTGAATAAAACGAATAATTCGAATATTTCAACAAAACGAGTAAAAAGAATAGTTCGAAATAAAATGATTCGATTAAATGAGCAATTCAAGTAAAATGAATAATTCGATTAAAACGAGTAATTCAAGTAAAATGAATAATTCGAACAAAACGAATAGTTCAAGTAATAATTCAAACAAAACGAATAGTTCTGAATAAAATGAATAGTTCAGACAAAACGAATAAACGAATAATTCGAACAAAACTAATGATAATGAATAATTCGAACAAACGAATGATAATAATAAATGAATAATTTGAATAAACGAATGATAACAAACAATTCCACTCAATTCATTAATGGCATAGAAGACTTTGATGAACCTTTATTTGAAGTCAACACAGCTTTTTAATAGGACAGATTTCTGGTCTAATTTTGCAGGAATCAATTAATTAGCTGAATGAATCCTGAACTAGAGATAAATCTGTTTTTCCCTTTCTTTATCAGATTAACTCACTTATTTCACTTATCAAAAAACTATGCTATTGATCGAATTAAAAGAGCACAACAATCTTGATTGTTATATTTGTAGTCCCACTCTAAGCCTAGAAACAAGATCATCAAATCCATCATCTTTAAATACTGTTAGTTCTCAAACCCATACTAAAAAATAAATAATTTATGAGGAAAAAGTAAAAAAAGGAGCATTGCTTGAAAGTATTTCTTTAAATGCAACCTATCGGAGTTCAAAGATGCTCAAAATATTAATGATGAATCTAACTCATTACAGCAAGATTACTTTTTAATGCAATGCTTTGAATACAAAAAACACAATAACTCAAATATTAGTAAACATCTGGATAAAATTGATAGATATATTTAGATAAGACAATAAAATTCAAATGGTGGGATCGCAGAATGTGTATTTAAAACTAAAACGGAAAGTACTATCCTTTAATATTAATATTAATAAATAATTAATGTGTACGCGTTTGTCGATCAAAAGATTTCTTTTTCTTCAAAATGTCTTTCAAACAAACAAAGAAGAAAAGAAAATTATGCGGTATAAGTGAAAGGGTAAGTATTTATCATAATATACAAGTCTATTTTAAAATCAGATAGTCAGTCACAAAGTAATAAATAAATAAATTCTTTAAAAATAAACTACAATGTCTTATCGAATAATAAAAAGGAGGGAAGAAAATAATCTAACCAGAGATATAGGAAAACAATCAAGTATAAATCTCCAAAACAAACTAACAAACATCAAAAACAACACGATTCAAAGTGTTGCACATCTATATAATATTGTTGATTTCAACACAAACACCATAGATGAAACAATTACAAACAACCTTGCAGATTCTATACAAGAAGTTGTCAATTGGTTCGATAATAATTATGACGATGATGTTAACAATAATAATTCTGAAATTGGTAACAATTCACAATAGGACTAACTTATTTGTAACTTATCCTACTACTACTATATAATATTAAAGAAATGGAATTTGCAGAAAAAATTTCTTAATACTTTAGGAACTACCTATTATATAAATCATTTAAAATGTCATAATATTCTTACATCTGATAAAAAAAATGATGGTAATTTTTTTGATATAACTTGAAATGAACGATCAAATTGACAATGTCCAAAAAGAAACTTTATCAATTAAATAAACAAGAAAAAATTAAAAATAATTACGAGTGTCCAAAATAATTACGAGTATTTGAATAAATATTTGAAATTCGTAATTTTGGATTTAACACACGATTTTATTGTATAAAGTTTTTCTTTGTGTTGGAAAAAAGACAAATTCAATCATGATCATTAATATTTTGTATTTTAAATATGGTGTTTATAAATAAATAACATGTACTTTAAAATGTAAAGTAGCAAATTATTATAAAAAACAATAATGATAATTTAATTAACCAATTAATACTTTAATATGGCGTATTATTTACAGATTGTTAGATCTGTTATTGACTACTATTTCTCATACAAGTTTAAAATTAAATTATTAACAAAGAATTTCTAATTGCTGGTAGATTAGGTCATCTTTGACAATGTTTCATATGTTGAAATCATAAGTGCACAACTAACTGCAATTTTTGTTATCCGAAGTGTGCCACCTAATTATATTCAATATAATAATTATTAAACCATTCAACATTAATCAATCACGACCAAGTATAATGTATTAAAAATATGCACCTCTAAATAATTCTTTATATCCTCCGTCTTGAATAATCATCTTCATGACATTTAACATGCTATTATTACTTCCCACTTTATATAATTAAAAATGATTTTAATTAGCTATACGCTAAAGAGTCATCATTCAAAAGATTTTAATTAGCTACACGCTAAAGAGTCATTATTCAAAAGATTTAAAAAACCTACATTGATTTAGTGAAACTTGTCGCCTAGTTTTAGCTACATCAAAAGGTGTAGTAACCAATGCTGCAAACTAATTTAATATATATATATATATATATATATATACACACATGGTAAGCATATATATATCAGTGATATATTTATATCTCTTTCTCAGAATTGAATATATGTTTTTACTTACACCACCAGAAGTAGCACCGCTCAAAAATGTAATTTCAACGTTATTGACTTTTTCATCAAGGTTATTTTCATGTAAATAATTTTTTATATTTTTTTTAATGAATTCATAACTAGCCCAATAAATTGCTAAAATAAATAAATATTTATAAATTTATATAATTTATAGTGTAATTATTATTTTCAAAAAAATTTTTACCTGAAAATGGTACATCTCTCCATAATGTAGGTTCCAGACCACGCCATAATGATGAAATACCATTATTGGCAACCATTGTTTGTACACCATTCAATACTCCTCTCAAACCATTTATACCTTCAGGTCCTTGCAATCTAGTTCGAAACAATTCTAATGGAGATATTATTGAAACAGCAATAGCTATATATACAAATGATGATAATGAGATTGTTAATGGATAAATATTAGAATCTTGACAAAAAAAATTTTTTATCATGCAAAAAATTTACTTCTTGCTGTAGCTCCTGCAATTAATGGTGAATAAGTTTCAGAATATTTTCCTTTCCAATTTGCCCATAACTTGTCTCTTAAATGATCATAACCTATAAAGTATATCATTGTTACTGGTACAGACATTACTCTAATGTGTATATATATATATATAATATATATGTATATAAATAATCAAATAAATAAAATGCCACGCAATACATAATCATATAAAATTATTCATTTAAACTAACAATGATGGTGATAGACCTCGCCATAAAGATGTAATCCCTTCATAACGAACAATTTTAACAATACCATCCTATATCCAAAAATTAATTAATTTAATAATTAGATTCTCTTGATTTTTTTATCTTTCAAGGAAAATGTGAAATAAAATTTACCGTTATTCCATTAAGTTGGCGATATTTTGTTACTACTTCTCTCTGAGCAGAAGATGGTAGAGTTGCTGTTGCATTTGAAACTATACAACATAGATTGGATGATAAATTTGGTTCTAATTGACAAAAAAATTTTTGTTTTAAATTTCTTGCTGAAAAAAATAAACTTTGCTGACAACGTGATGGCAATGGCGATGATATTGATGAATATGATGTTGATGCTGATGGTTTGATATTTGAAAATAAGAAAGTATTATTATTGGAAATACTTTGTGATTGTAATCTGGTCTTTACTACATCAAATGGTGTTGCTATAATAGTATATAAGTGAAATATATAATTAATATTATCATAATTAGTCATTTCATTTATGTAGTGTTGACAGTTCTTTTTCACTTACTAACAAGTGAAGTTAATAAAGCCCCACTACAAGCAGCAAACATTTTTTGTAAAGGTGTAATTGAATGGTCTTTGTTTATTTCTTGTGGTAAAGACAGCTTTGTTGTTATTATAGTTGTTTGTTCTGGCTGTTGTTGTGCATGAATGAGACTGAAGCCTGGGTCAATAATTTCTGAACAGTCCATAGCTGTATCCAATGTAGTATCCATTATTATTATTAAATTTTTCGTATCAAATATTATTTAAAAAAAAAAATCTTTTTTCGCGATTAATAATCCGCCAGGAAAGGACTCGATTGATGCCGATCTGGAAAATTTCATAGTAATAAATATTAGTATTAGTAATAATGATAATAACATGTCGATTTTTCCCCCATAGAAAATTTTATATCAAACTATGTAAATCAAAAGTAAAAATATGAAGCAGTTAAATCTGTTGGTTTTCTGCTATATAACGAGCGGTCATACATTTAAAATATATAAAATAATTAGAATTTGTCCCAAAAGAATATCTTCATTAATAATATTATTAAATGTAAGAAGAAACAAACAAATTAATTTCTTTAATAACCACAATCTTTAGCTACTGACTTTATTATTTTTACTGTATTTATTTATATTCAGAATAAACTAACAATAATTATAATAATAATAATAGAGGGAAATTTATTTATAAATAGTTAATGACAAAGCAGTTAAAATACATAGTATTGGAAGCTGTATAACCCATTAATAAAACATTTTTCAATGAAAGATATGCATGGTTTTAGCCAATAATATTTTGATTTTATTTTTAAATTAAAAAAGTCAGAAACTCGGGGTTTTATTTAGTAAATTTTAAAGTACCGAATTAATTAATCAAATAAATAAAAATCTGATAAAAAAAAATCTGATAAAAAAAATTGATAAATTAAATCTGATAAGATCAAGGGCTAGTGATCAGCAAAATTTGGGTTATCAAACATTGAAATTTAATGTAAATTTCAAAAGAATGTTGTGTAGCCAAACATATATATATATATAGTTTATCTATGAATTTTTTTATTTAAAATAGTTAAAATATTATTTTTTCAATAATAAATCAAATTGTGGCGAGTTCGGCAATTTCCTTTTATATTTGGTTTGTTGAGGTGGCGTAAAAGAATCAGGTCAGTGCTCATAATTGTTTGTCAATCCCCTGAGATTTTGCTGCAAACACACATTGATGGAATCATAAGCAAAATTTTATCATAAAAGCAAAGATGATAATCAAATTACCTCTATTATAGAAAATGGATATTAGTAATGGAAAAGTTTCTTTATCTATTACTAATTTTGTTTTAAGGAAAGGCCATGTTCTATACAATCCATTGTATTCCAAATCCATGAAAAAAGACAGTTCCACTTAGATTTTTGAATGAGCAACTTAGTAATATATTAATAATAAAAATAACTTTGATAGAACCTATATCCATATTAACGAAAAAATTGTTTCGTTGGGTCCTCCTTTCTTATCAATCAATTGTTTTTCGCCCTTAAATTGATTTTGACAAAACCTTTTTTCCTTTGTAAAATAGTGCAACCTGTTGGCTTTACTTCAGAGTTAAGAATGGTATGCCATCAATAATTCATGAAAAATCTGGCCTTTTAATTGTACCATTAACTCTTCGATTCAATTTCAACTCGTAATTCTTGTATGGAATGCTAAATAATGGTTTGGTAACAGGATCCAGATAATAATAACGATGCTCATCTTCTGAAATTTTGTTTTTTGTGACAAGGGTTCAGTTCATTCTTGCTAGAACATATTAAAAAAAAAGATTTAATTTTCCCAATAAATTTTGTCTATTTTTGATCATCAACTTACATATTATCAAAAACGCGAGTAGCAAACTTTGCTCAGCTCAATATCATTTTTTCTGAAAATTACATTCAAACCCTAACGCATGAAGATTTGTCACATCAAGCAATGAAGAAGATGGTAAAACAGGTTTGGTAATCCTGAATGGATTTGGATCAACAAATTGCTTTCATTCTTTACATGTGAATATTTTATATGGACATGGCCAAGTCATAACAATGATTGATGATAGAGCCCTAAAAAAAATTAAACCTTTTTATACATATTTCTGAACACAATAAAATTAATAGGAATACAAATGATATAATCAATGATATAATCAACAATATAAAAATAAGATAAAAAAATATAGATGTATCATTCGCGATTAGACAGGAATGTTCTCTAAATTATTGAATGATACAATCAATAATACAACTGATGAGATAAAAATATTTATTCATGATAAATGAATGATACAATCGATGATTCAACTGCTGAGATTAAAATATTAGTGCATTATTGGTGATAAATTATCAAATGATTATAACTGATGGAGGTAATAAAATATAAATGTAGTTCACAAGCGAGAATGCTCTTTTCCTTTTAAATTATCAAATGAAATAATAAACGATACAATTGATGACATAAAAATGAATCATAAAGATAGTTTTTTTTATATCAGATATTTTATTACAAGCTAATTAATGAAATATCACCTGAGACCAATTTATCGTGATTCACTTAATCATACTTGGGCTGTGATTGGCCGATTTAGCATTTATCGCGACTTTATATAGATTGACCGACTTATCAAATTTTTTTAAATAATAAAAAAAAGGGCGAGAAAATTTGGCCAGGTCAGTCCAAAACTGATCGAGTTTACATACGTATATATAAGGGCGTAAAAATTCAATAAGATGAAAATTTTTCAGTAACCAATGGCCAGTTCTAACATTTCTACTGTTTACAAGGACAATAAGTTATTTAGAGATATAAGCGTTGATTTCCAGAGAGTGGTGAGGTGAGATATTTATTTCACCAAGTGATTGTTTAATTGTTGTGCATCTGAGGTTACGCTGCCACTAAGGATGATATGATAGGCAGAGAACTTGAAACGCATCGTGGCCACAGGGGATGTTACTAGGGCCAAGTAATAATTGTATGTGAACGTTCTTTCTGTTTTATCCAAAGTGGTGAATAGGATGGATGTATCAATAACTGTGTAGCCCCAGCATTACCTTTACAATGGTGATGACATTTACTTATAAATTTTTTTTATTATATAATCAATCTAGAGGAGGTAGCGGCATAGATATATTTGGCAATTATAATCGTTATCTGCTCTTGATTCAATGCAAAGATTTTACTAACAAAATTGATGTCGATTATATTTGTGCTTTCGAAAGTATCGTAGCAAGATTTGATAAAGATAATACTATTGGAATTTGGAAAAGGACGGTTATGCAAAGGGCTCTATAGAAAGAGCCAATTCATCAGAATGTTATTTGTTGTTCACAAACATATGGAATTTGATCGGGACATCTCCAAGTACTTATCTAAAATATCAAAAGATAATTCTGTAGAAGGAAAACTTCACAAAATAGAAAAGGGGATAAATGAAATTATCGAGATGCTCGAAAGTCAAGAGAAGTTAATACACACAAGATAAGGAATGATCAAATTATACTTGCTGCCCAAACTCAAAAGGTCAAGTCTCAAATTCTCAAATCCTTGAATTTCATGACACATTTAGGTATATACGAATTTGGAATGTGTCGTATAAATTACCAAATTCGTACTATATAGTTTTATAGTATTTTACACCTTAAAAGTCCTAAATAGTTTTTACCTGGGATTTTAAGACTATCTATCTATACTTTGGGCGGCAAATCAAATTAGAAAATAAATTAAACTAGAAAGTCAGATTATAATTTTTTAGTTTTATTAATTTATACATTAATAATGTTTCTGAATCATGTAAATCTTTTTTAAAGGATTTATAACTCTTGAATTCAGCAAATTCGAATGATCATGGCTTTAATTTCTTGTAATAATCACAAATTATTGCTGGTAAATTTAATAAATTGATAACTTGCGAAATACTGAATTATCTAATTTTATTTATCATGAGTAAAATTCCGACCCATTTGGGGATAATTTATAAAGAATCCATAGAATGGACATGCTTTGCATGATCTACTATATTATGATTATTGATATGTATTTAAATTAAAAGTAATTGTAAACCTGCATAATGACCATCAAAAATTATGACCTTATTTTATTGATATATATAAAAACCATTGCTGAAACAACATACAAATATAAAGCATGTCTCACTGTTGGGGGGAGTTGGATATTTATTCGTATAATAATATGAATTTTATCATGATCAAGCTATTTAGGAAAATAAATTGATTTGGAAACATATAATCTCCTCCATTCCCATTTTTATACGCTGTAATTTGCTCACAGATATTTGTAATTACATTTGTATCAATCTTACAAAGAACAAATTTGTGAGGGAAAGTATTTTCAAACCAAGATGGCCACTGTTCCTTAATCATAGGTCTGAACTTGTCGACTTGTTTATTAGTGAAATCTTGAGAACAATAACGTTATATTGTAAAAGAATATCGAGCGATCCATTAGGAATGAAAAGGCAATTGAGACTAATATTATTAACAATTTTGTTTTTCCTAAATACATAGAACAATAGTGAGCGGAATTTCGTTTTCTAGTGTAAAAAGATACTCTGTAACATTTACGTAGATATAATACATACCTTTAAAAAAAATTGATATGATTAAAAATATCTCACGAATCCCGGTTTATTTATATGTTTTTTTTTCGCTTGACCTGGAACCTGCTAGAAGAAAAAAAATACATGATTAATGATTACGTTATCCTGACCATTTTCTCGGATCTCTGTCCCATAAAGCAATTCTATTAGAATCACAAGCGCCGAGAGGAAAGTATATTTAGTCATTTATGGGAAAATTAGCCCTTTTGTCTGACAATTGTTCTTGAAAAATGTAAAATAATCCAAATCTAAACGATCTCAGAGATGGCGAAAATCTCAACTTCCATAACATATGAAATTTGATATTGTTACTGATAAAGAACAATAGACTCTCTTCATTCATGACTTTTTTGAGTCTCATTCATAGTTGTTCTTATCGGAAAAACCATATACAATAAGAAAAGACTTTATTAATACGGTGCATCGTGCACATTATCGTTTCACGCCTTAATATGATAAGGCAAACATATGAATAATTAAATCAGTAACAAATACAACATGAACATTGTGTATGGTAAACAAGTACACCAAAACCTTGAAGGCACAAGAGTTGATTTTCTGTTGCCTTACGTTTTAAGTGGTGTTGACGTTGATAAAAGATTGATATCTGCATTACTATAAAGATAATTGATTCCATGAGCTTTACTGTGTAAAGTCTTCGAGATATGAATATCTAAAAATTAGAAACCCTTGAATAATTTCTCAATGTCTTCACAATATCTACATTCACCACATTCTTTACCATTTCTAAAATCCAACTTCCATTTCAGTCGCGTTCATGTAAATCTTTAGAATACCATAATATTTTGACCCAAGACTAGCTAGAAGCTTTTGACCTTTTGTTTGGTTTCAGTGTTGCTTACGGAGCGTGCTTTCTATCTCTCCACTAAGTAAATATTATATTCGATAAATCAAGAGTTTATTATGTTGGGAATAAACTACTACGATCTTATAATAACATACTTTTGGGACCTAATTTTATTATTCATATAGTCAAATGCCTTTGGAATTAAAAGATTTATGAGTGAGTCTCTGTAAACTATCTCCTGTGTATTCGCATCACGAATTATATTGAAAGGTGATGTGAACAAAAATATGCTAGAGTGAAATATGGGAATTAGTGGAATGTGTTGAATAATATTAAGCAATAATGTGTACGGTATATACCTACAATTGCCGATAGATACCCTTACCCATAATATGTCATAATGTTTTTTGAGATCAAACTTGCCCTCAAATCGTATTTCAAAAATAATTTTTGTTGATTGTGGCTGATCATCGTCATCAAAAACCGATTTCGGCTTCACCTCAACTGCAGAAGCATACTTGTCGATTAAAGGTCTGATACTCTTAACCGGCATACTGTATTCTGTTTCTCTTCAGGCTGATGGTTCCATCAAAAAGAACATGTAAGGTTATTAATCTAAAGCTGATAGGATAGCTAACATGAAATATATACTTTTTCTCTCCTTCTTTTTTATCATCATTTAAGAAGACTTTGTTTACTGGATCAGTGAGATTCTTTCCGGATAGGTTGACAATACAATAATCAAAAAGACGATGGTTCACATTTCTAACCTTTACGATGAGGTGTTGAATCTCGGTTGATTCATTCTCGTTCTCATCATGATCATCAAAAAAATCGACATCCTCGTTATTAAATTGAACTTGTGCAGGTTGAAAAGCATCATGCGGACGTGGAGAAAAAGTGCAGGTTGGGAGGAGTGGTGACGATGCGAGAGATTTCCTCGGCTGGTTGTTTACTTTCATTCTTTCATAAATTCGCATGTTTGCTAGCATAGAAAATTTTAATAAGTACTTGTAGAAGAATCAGATGCAAGAACAAGAGGCGCAAAAACGAACATTGATGAACATCCACATACCAATTTATCATCAGAAACTGAACTTTCATTTCTTGGTTTTCAGCGTTCTGCTGACTTCGTTGAAGGCAGTCTTTATCAAATCTTTGGTGTTGTGCATTACTGTTCAAATCGTTTTTATCTAATCAGAATATGCAGTCAATACAGGTCTGAATTGGAATAGAATTCCAAGAAATGATAATGTAATGAGCCCTATCTAGCTGTAAACTTGAATTGGCAGAAGACGAATGAATCTATGTCATTCCAAAATGTCCGGATATCGTGGTACTTTTCGCGGTGATTCTTATATTAGTTGAAAATCAATAGAAGCAAGTATAATAATTAGAACAGTAATAAACAAATAAAACTGGCGATAGCTTATGGCTGACTACAAGGGATCACGACGGACACACAATGGAAACGCAGACCATAAAGTGGACAAAACGCAGGTGTCCACCGTAATTGTGTGTCCTGTGATACATGACGAAAACGCAGACCTTCAGAGATCAAAACGCAGGTGACCCTCCTAGTCGCATAACCACGTCTGAAACAAAAGGAAAGCCACTTTTATAATTTTCCAGCAACTGTTCTGCAGACGTCCTGACTTCTTCTGAAAAATCCTTGATTAGCTCCTCAAGATCGCATATAAGTTTACGTGACTCCTCTTGGTATGAGATGGTGAGGTCAGGTTGCTGCTGACGATACTGATAAAAAACCTAAAAAGCTATAATCTATCGCTGATGTTTCACGAAAGTAAGAATTTGTTTTGGACTCTCTGTTTTCCGACACGATTATGATACATATATTACGAAGTGCAGCTGGTTATTAATATATTCTAAGACATTTGACCTTGATCATATTCATATTTCCATGTTATTGTACAATTTTTTTTTCAGTTGAAAAAATTTTTATGATTCAATTGAAATTCTTAAAATGTCGTACAACATACAGACAGATTATCTGATCGATTACAGGATCAAATTCTAATATATCCTTCTGATTTTCACCAAGAAGTTACAGTCAAGGAATTTACTGGAGGCAAGTATACGCTTATTTACTTGAAGAGAGTCACGGAATGACTAGGTTATGGGAAAAATGAGAGTCTCTTATCCCACGCATCGAAAAATTGAGCGAGTTTTGAGGTTTACGATAATATGATTATAACCAAAAAGGATGGGAAAATGAACAATGATAGTATCAAAGAAGTTGAATACATTCTCAAAGAGAGGGATATCGTTATGGAGTCGGATAATTACTTTTAATCAAATGAAAATCAGAAAAAACATAGCAGGAAAAATTATTAAAATTGTGACAACTATATCTTTATATGGAAAAAGAGCCGGCTAAACTAATACAATAAAAAATATTGGAGTAGTAAATGTTTAAAGGGAGGAATCACGTCGGTCCCTAAACCTTGAATTGATGGTTCCATCTCACTACTCCATACTATCTATTTATGAACTAATCTGGTCCACAGTATCTGATTTACAACACTTACTATTATAAAAGTTTTTATTGTTGACTCCCAATAATTCCTCCAACTTCACTGCTACGAAATAACTCTTTCGTCAAAAATATAATCGATGAGAAGATTCCCAGCGCGTCCGTAGTGAAGTCAAGTTCCATAGTGAGGCGGGGTGTTAAGTTTAGCAATTCCTTCAGTCAGATTAGAATTATATGAGATGTTTTTTTCGGTAAATTGTTGCCTGATGATATTTAATATTAAGACATTAGCATGTAAATCCTTCATTATATCAAAACGTTTTTTTGATGGCATAAGTCCGAAACATTAATTTTGATGCATCTATGAAGGAAAAAAATAAAATTAACGTATGCGGAAACAAACATATGTGGAATTATAAGTCAAAAAAGAAAAGTGGTAAATAAGTGTCATTATATTTTCACTATATTTTATTAAAAATATGAAATTATAATTATTTAATATTACACTAAATTAAAAATTATTAATTTTTCTTTAATAATTTATACACTTCATATTCTTCTAATAAAATACTAATATATGAATTATTTCCAAGACTTAAATTATTTTTATAATTGGAAAATGAATAAAAACAATAAGGTTCATTATTAATACTGTTACATAATATCAAATCACCAAAGTTTATACATGCTTCATAAAATATTATATTATCTACAGTAACATTAATAATTTGTTTATCATGGAATATTGCCTTTTCAGGATTTTTGACCTTACTTAATATTGAATTACCAAGTTGATTTTCATTAATCTTAAAAATAAAACTTTTGCTTGTTTCAATCCAATATCTTTCATTTGGAGATTTTCCTTTTATATTCCAACAAACAGGATTATAACCACCCACTAATTCACCTGTTTCCTTAATTTTCATCAATACTACAGTTTGTTCAATGTTGTAACATTTCTCCTCAAAAATTACCCTTGAAAAGCCATCTTGAGATCCACAAAGGACTAATTCAAAATCATATGATGTATTATTTTGATCAATCCAACCAGAAATTAAAGATTTTAATTTTAAATTTAATAATTTTCCAATTCTTGTTCTTGGACCTTTTTGAGGAAGTAGCCTTGGTTGCCAATTATCAATAAAATAATATTCATGAATCTCTTTGTATATTTCTTTATCAAAAGCTTTTTTATACGGAATAACTTTATTATAAAAATCTTCTTTAGAAATTTCATGGAATCTTATTAATGGAATAATGTCTTCTAATATATTTTTCAATTTTTTGAAATCATCTTTACTCCACACTGAAATATTTTTTCCCAA